AATTGTCCGGTGGGGGGTCGCAAGAAAAGAGCTCCCAGGAGGGAGCGGGGGTCGGACCTGGTGGTAGCCTGGTGGTGGCCTGGTGGCGGCCTGGTGGTAGCCTGGTGGTGGCGTGGTGGTGGCCTGGTGGTGGCCTGGTGGTGGCCTGGTGCTGGCGCGGTGGGGGGTCAGGGTCGGCTCCGGGTCCGGAATTGTCGGGGGGGGGTCCCAAGAACAGAGCTCCCAGGAGGGTGCGGGGGTCGGACCTGCTGGTGGCCTGGTGGTGGCGTGGTGGTGACCTGGTCGTGACCTGGTGGTGGCCTGGTGCTGTCGTGGTGCGGGGTCAGGGTCGGCTCCGGGCGCGGAATTGTCGGGTGGGGGGTTCCAAGAACAGAGCTCCCAGGAGGATGCGGGGGTCGGACCTGGTGGCGACCTGGGCGAGTGGCGCCGACCTCGTGGTGGCTGGTGCTGTCGTGGTGGGGGGTCAGGGTCGGATCCGGGCGCGGAATTGTCGGGTGGGGGGTCCCAAGAACAAAGTTGCCAGGAGGGTGCGGGGGTCGGACCTGGTGGTGGCCTGGTGGTTGCCTGGTGGTGTCGTGGTGGTGGCGTGGTGGTGGCCTGGTGGTGGCCTGGTGGTGGCGTGGTGGGGGGTCAGGGTCGGTTCCGGGCGCGGCGGGGGTCGGACCTGGTGGTGGCCTGGTGGTGGCCTGGTGGTGGCTTGGTGGTGGCGTGGTGGTGGCCTCGTGGTGGCCTGGTGGTGGCGTGGTGGTGGCGTGGTGGGGGGTCAGGGTCGGCTCGGGGCGCGGAATTGTCGGGTGGGGGGTCCCAAGAACAGAACTTCCAGGAGGGAGCGGGGGTCGGACCTGGTGGTCGCCTGGTGGTGGCGTGGTGCTGGCGTGGTGCTGGCGTGGTGGTGGCCTGGTGGTGACCTGGTGGTGGCCTGGTGCTGGCGTGGTGGGGGTCAGGGTCGGATCCGGGCGCGGAAATGTCGGGTGGGGGGGGCCCCAAGACCAGAGCTCCCAGGAGGGTGCGGGAGTCGGACCTGGTGGTGGCCCGGTGGTGGCCTGGTGGTGTCGTGGTGGTGACCTGGTGGCGGGGGTCGGACCTGGTGGTGGCGTGTGGCGTGGTGCGGGGGTCGGGAGCTCCCAGGAGAGTGCGGAGGTCGGACGTAATCCACGCCTCTGGGGTTGGCGGATTCTGTCTATAGGAGTGCGTTGACGTCGATTTAGCGTCTGGTAGCCGATGAGATAGCGCCGTTTTAGCGTCGATTGGCTTCGACTTGTCGATTAGCGCCGACGTAGCGTCGATTCGAGACGATTCGCAAGAGTCTCCAAGATGGTATGGGAGGCTTCCATGAGTTGCCGCAGAAAGGGGGGAGCCACTGCCATCAAAATACCACACGTTTTGCCAGGGTCCCCTACGTTTTGTTTTCTTTGTGTTCGGATTGAAGGCTTGCAGCGGTCGCGAAGAGGCCGCCATTGAGTGGGTACCCTGAGTGTCTCGACGACGAGGTGTTTTACGCAAGCCCTGAATTACTCGCTGGTTTTGACTGTACTTATGCCGCTCTTTCTTCTTCTTCTTCTTCTTCTTCTTCTTCTTTTTCTTCGTCTTCTAGAGCAGGGGCTGGAGAACCTCATGTCGGAAGATTGCGCCGTGTCGCTGATGCCTCGGCGATGCGGGCTCGATGTAGATCCCAACTTCATTCATCCCGCCGTCGCTGATGCGCCGCCGATGTATCGGTCTGCGGCGAAGTCCGAACCCTACTCTCGCCGATCAACGATTCAGGCACTTCGACTGGCGGCGGGGGCAGGGGTTGGAATTCGTCGAACACGTGGCGGAGTCCGAACCCCACCCCCGCAATCTGATTCAGGAGATCCGATGGTTGGAGGAGATAGGGTTCGGAGTTCGCCGCCTCGCATCGGCGAGGCGGCGCCATCGGCCGACCCCATTCCCGTTCTTTGGGTGGGCCTCCGAAAGGCGAGGGTGACCTGAGCTGCCTGCTCCACGACTGGCTGGCCAAGCCCGGCGCGGCGGCGCCTGGGGTCGCAGAGGCGCCAGCGGCAGGCGCAGCGGTGCTGCTCGGCCTCTCCCTCCTGGCTGCTGTTTTCTGGGCGCTCGGTGTGACGCTGCCGATCGTGGTGATCCGCCCCTTGCCCTTCGGGGAGATGGAGCCCATCTTGGAGCCGGCTGGGGGGTCTGAGGTTGCCCAGCATTGGTCCCGGCGAGCAGGAAGGGCGGGCAGGATCGAGGTTCTGGGTTTGGGAGTATTTTTTCTGCCCATGTCGGCCTCCGGGGGACGTTTTCGAGCTCCGCGGGACCGTGAAAAATGGATCCGGCGTGAAACATTGCACCATATGTATCCTGGGAGTGGTCCAGCGACTGATTCTCAGCGGATTGGCGTCTTTTCGCTCCTGACAGATTTTCTGGGGCCTGAACCAGCGCAGACCACCTGGGCGCCTCCGAAGCCCATCTACAAGTCCACGCTCGGCACGCTGCAGGTGCTGTGGGAGGACGGGCACCTGTTGGCCCTGCTCATCCTGACCGTCTGCAGCGTGGTCCTGCCCGTAGCGAAGGCCATAACGACCACCGTGGCCATCCTGTCGTTCGGGCAGCTGCACCTGTCCGACGTGGCCAGAAAGTGGCTCGATGGATCCATCTCCGTGCTGGCAGCGCTGAGCAGCTACCAGTGTGTCGACCTGCTGCTAGGCATCCTCTTTGTGGCCTTTCTGCCCGACAGCGGGTTCATCTCGGCGTCCATCCAGTGGGGCTTCTTCTTCTTCGCGGCATATTGCGTCGCATCGCAGGCGGCCCTGCTGCTGCTCCAGAAGAGAGCCGCGGCGGTGTCGGAGGCTCTCTCGGAGGCCGCCGCAGGCGCCCTGGCCGAGGGAGATCGCACGGGCCGCGGCGCCAGCGAACCAGGCCTTCTCGAGGCCAGCCCCGTGGAGGCGGCTGTGCTCGGCGGCCTGCTGCTGCTGCTGATCCTGCTTGCGAGCGCCTGGCCGCTGCTGGAGGTGAGCATCGTCTACGAGGGCTTCTGCCTCGAGCGCTCGCGGCTGGGGCTCCTCGGGGTGGCCGCCGCCCTGGCCGACGAGGGCGGGGCCTTCTGCGGCTGCCTGCTGGCGTTGGCGTTCGTGCTGTCGGTGGCGGTCGCCCCCCTCGCGGTCGCGGGGCTCGCGCTGCTGGGAGCCGTGCAGGGCGCGGCCGCGCCCTCGCCACGGGGTGGGGCGCGGGGCCAGCGCTGGCTCCGGCTCTCCCGGGAGGTGGCGCATTGGGCGCTGCCCGACGTGTTCGCGCTGGCGCTGGTGACGTTCACGTTCACGATGCAGGACTCGCAGGTGAGCGGCGCCAAACAGCGGGGTCGTCTGCGCCGACATTCGCGTGACAGCTGCCCGTGTAAGCTCGCGGGTAAGCGCCCTCGTCTTCAATGCAGCTTGCCGCTCTGGCGGCCCGCATAAGCCACACGTCATCTTGTGTAAGACCCGTTTTTTCTCCAACCATCCTGTGGTGTTGAGTCCTCGTTTTGAAGAGACAGTCTCGCGTCCTTCTCTCCTCCTCGTCTCCTCCTCGTCTCCTCCTCCTCCTCCTCCTCCCTCTCCCCCTCTCCCTCCCCTTCCCCCTTTTTACTCCTCCCCCGTTCTTGTGTCTTCCCTCCGCATGTCGCTGTTTCGGCACACCCCTCACAGGTTGCATGGCCCCATAGGGAGCTCTACCGAAGGTTCCAGTGCCAGGATGATTTCGTCGCTCAGGTGGCCACCTGGGTCCCGCGTAAACTGCCGCGCAAGGTCGCGACGTTATCTTGCGTAAGACCCGGATGAACATCCGGATCCTCGTGGGCTTGTTTTCCAGCTTTCTCGGTGCTCTGGGGCTCGGTGCCGTCGGCTTCGCCCTGCGGTAGGCGTAAGACGTGTAGCTTTTGTTCGTCGCTCAGGTGGCCACCCGGATTCCCGTGGGCTGGTTTTCTAGCTTCCACGGTGCTCTGGGGATCGGTGCCGTCGGCTTCGCCCTGCGGTGGGCGACGGTGCGTCCCCGTGTGCCCGTGGCGGTCGAGGAGCAGGCCCCGGTGGACGACGAGGGCGGCGGCGAGGCGGCCGGCCAGGCGTCGCCGCGGCGGGGCCTGAAGCTCGGGCGCTGCGAAGGGTGCCCCTGGCCGAAGGTGCCCTCAGCGCTTCGTTCCATTTTGGAGCCCCTGGGGGCCCTCTGGGCGTCGTGAGGGGTGCTCCGGAGGCCCTGGTGGCCTCCTTGGGAACCCCGCGGGGCACCGTTGCGCCGGGAGCACTTCTGGCAGCACCCGAGAAGCGGGAATGGAACTGGGACGCGCTCAGCTTCTCCGCCCCCGTGGGCCCGCTGTCCAGGCACTCAGCAGGAAAAAACGTACTGATATCGCTGTCCGTGCTTCGTTTTTGCCTTTTGGGGCCTCCTGGGAGGCCCTCGTCGCCACCGCTGGATTCGCCTCGAGGCTTTGGTCAGAACGCGTCCTGGGAGGGCTCCGGGGAGCAGCAGCAGCGGTACCTCTGTTGGCTTCCCCAGGTACGAGTTACGCGTGACGCTGTGCCCGGCGCGGGCGTGGCGCCGGCACGGCCCGCTCGCGGCGGTCCTGGTCGTTTGGGCGCTGGGGTGCGTGTCCATGCGCGGGCCCCCAGCGCCGCCTGGCTTAGCGGGCACGGACGTCGAAGAAGAAGCAATGCAGCATGGCCGGGGCCATGAGATCTTTTCGAATTGTATGGCCCCGTGTTCTGATTTCAGTACGTCCCATGGCCTCCCCCTCGCGCGCGCACATGTTTTTCTGGCCATGACTTGCGCCCAAGCCCCCTTGTGGACGCCCCCTTCCATTGGCCACTGGCATGGACATAAGCTTCACCACGGGCCCGAGACATTCGCGTGGCCTTCCGAAAGGTTATGTTCATGCCGCTTCTTTAGGTTGCTTAGATAGGGTCGGAGTAGATCGGGCCGCATCGCCGATGCATCGGCGATGCGGTGCGATGCGGTGCCCGACTTTCTCCACGCCGACGATGTTGCCGATGCATCGGCGATGCATCGGCGGTGCGGCCTGATCTCTGGCCCCATCTACTCCGACCCGAGTTAGCTCTGAAGATAATCGCCAGCTGGGACGCTACTTTCCCGAACTGTTTTTACTTGCTGTGCCCTGGCTTTGACATACGCCTCCAACCGGCATTCTGCAGCCTATGTGTCGTGCAGACACGGCGCTTCCGATTGATTGACTGACCCAGTCTCCCCTCCCTCAGGACGAGGTCCTCCAGCGGGCCGCGGAGCTGGGCAACCGGGCGCTGGCGGCCCAGCTGCCGAGGAGCATCGGGGACTGCCGGCGGCGCGCGGGCGCCCCGGAGCCGTGCCGCCCCGGCGGCCACGGCGCGCTGGCCGAGGCCACCGACGAGACCTACGGTGTGGACGTGATGGTCCGCTGGGCCACCGGCGTGGACACCGTCCGCCTGATCTCCGCGCGGGCGCTCAGGTTGGTGAGTGGCCTTCCGGTTGCGCGCAGGCAGCCCCCCTCAGGGAGTCCCCGCGGGCCTCCACGGGCCCCCCGAGCAGTCTCAGCTGGCCTCCGTCGACTGGCGCCAGGGAAGGCTGCCCCAGACCATGCGGGGGGCCTGCTGAGGCCGGCTGCGACTGCTCGGGGGGCCTGTTGAGGCCAGCGGGGGCCACCTGGGGGGTCTGTGGTCCTCGCGCATCCCGAAGCCTTGCCATCTGAGGTCCTCCGACGCCGAGCGGCCCGTGCAGATCGTCCTCGACGGGGTGATCCAGAACCTCACCCTGTCCATGCGCATCCAGAAGTGCTACTTCGGCCAGTGCGACGTGCTGTTCGACAACACCGACGGCTGCTGCGAGCCGGACAGGAGGGTGCGCGTCGCCGTGACCGCGGCCTGTCGCGACGGGGCGGGGGGGGCAGAATTGGAGCCGTTCCTGCTAAAGGAGCTCGTGCTGGACAGGGTCTATCTGAAGGAAACCCTCTTCTTGGTGGACAAAGTAGTGGTATAACATCCGCTTCCCCGCCTTCGGGGACGCTTGTCGCAGGGTGATTGGAACGTTTCCGGCCCTACGGCGACGCGTTCCCTGAGCCGTCGCCTGAGCCTCGCTTGGGGGAGAAGCAGTTGCAGGGTAGGTGCAAGGCAACGTTCAACGGATCACGGCCCCATCGAGATTGCGTTATTGCCACCCGCCACCGTGGCTGGTTCGTGGGTCAGAGGCTGGTTGGATGCCTTTCGGGGTCTCTTGGGATGCCCCTCGGGGGCGTCCTGGGAGCCTTACCGGGGGCCTCCTGTGGGCGTTCTCTCTGGGGTCTTCTTTCCTCGGGGTTTCCTGGGGCCCCTCAGCGGCCTCTTGGGGGTCCGTTGGGGCCTCTTTCCGGCTGTTCTGGGACAGGCGGACACAGCTTATGCCATTCTTCGTCCGCCAATCTTCGGCTTCATCCGCACGAACGTGGCCGACCTCTCGAACGACATTTCGCTTCGCATGGAGGCAATCGTCAAGGAGTTCCTGTCTGGAAAGCGCCGCGTGCTGGGCCTCACCCTGAACGAGGTCGTCGCTGGCCTTTGGCGGCACAACGTCGCTGAAGCAGGCACCTGCGCCGAGCTTGTGGACTCCCTGTGATGTCCTCAAGAGGTTGCTTGTGTTTTTATCCTCTGGCGCGTAACGGTCGTTACCTGCCCCCCCCCCTTCCCCTAGGGTAACAGCAACGATCGTACTTATCCATCGGTCGTTGAAAGTATTTTTTTGGGGGTTCCCAGATTCCAATCTAGTTTAGGCGCCTTCCTACTTCAAGAGTCGAGCGGCTATCCCTCGTCCCTCCTCTTCAGGGGGGCGGGCGGAAGCCCAATCTGCGTCCAATGCCTTCCCACTCCATGCTTCTGCCTAGTTCTTCCGACCGACGGGCAGGGGCGTCCAGGCCTCCCAGACGTTGGTGCTCGCGCGCACGCTGTGGCGATTGCCGCGCACCCCCGCCCCGGCGTGCCCTGGCCTGCCCGAGCGTTACCGCTGCTCGGGGCCCCTCCCCCCTCACGGGGGGTAGCGACCGTTGCCAGAACTAGACACAAGTGCAGTCTCCACCACCTCCATCTCGGCCCCTCCCCTTCCTTCTGGCCCTCCTCCTGCCTCCTCCCCCTGCCCCCCTTCCCCATCCCCCTCGCCAGGAGACGAGCGGGTCCGGGGGGAAACGGGTCCTGTTTTGTTTAGCCGTTTGCGGGCTCCCAGAACCCTCCCGCAAGGACTGTCAGAAGACGACTCGGGATCAGCTGGCCCCGCGGGGAAGGCACTTGTGGGCCAGGAGCCGATTCCCTCACGACATGTTTCTTTAATGCCAATTGTTTGACCCTCCTGCTCATGAGTTTTCTCTTCCTCACCTTTCTGCACTCCCACTTCCTCCTCCCTTATCAATGTCCTCTTCTCCCTCCTCCCTCTCCTCCATCTTGACTTCCCCTCCTCGTTACCTCCCCCACAAAACCTCCAGTCTCGGCTCGAGAGCTTTGGTGAGAGCGAGCCGAGGGGCCAAGCGCCCCGCATCCGTTCCTACCTCGCGAGACTGGACACGGCCATCTCCAGGCCGTGACATATTGGCGTCGCATCCCTTCAGTCCCGCGCGCACGCCACGGCTCCGAAAGGCTCCCGCCGTGCGCCCCCTGCACCACGGCAGCCCAAGCCACCAGGCAAGATCCGCCAACGGGCTACTTTACCAGACAATAACCTGTCCCGAATGGGAGCCTGCGTGTCGCACTCCAGAGCAGTGGTGGCTTCGACAGAGGAGCAGTCGCTGCATACAACGGCCTGGCTCTCAGCATCGGTCCGACCAGCGAAATGTCAGGGTCGAACGAGTACGAGCGTGCGGGGAACAATATCAGTTACACCATGCAGCGGTATTCCGTCAAACATCAAAACAACCACACAGCGCGACCCCCCAGGGACCACGGACGCCGCCGAAGCATACCAGGGTAACGGCCAGGCCCCTCTCATCAGCCTGGATGCACATACGTGGGACGTCCCCGTACCCTCCGCACCCGAGGAGGAGCATGTATTATCACACGCTGGAGGACACCCAGCGTCTGCGACGGCAGATACGAACGCAAAACACATGTTTAGCGCTCGCAGTTTTGGACATATCAGCACCGCGTACCCAGCGGCGAGATCCTTATCCCAGTCCCCCGTCGTCGTACGGCCAGGGCTACCAGGCCTGCGCCAGGACACGATCAAGGGACCGATCACCAGCTCGGACGGGGCGAGGTAAAAAGGTTCCAAAGCGGCGCGCGCATCCCGACCCAGCGGGCAACCTAGTTTGGATCCGCGCCGCTATCCGTGAGGCTGGTGCTGTTGCAATCATACCCACGTCTAAATAATTGTTCAAAGCGCGGTCCCTTAGGCTCGGCACGCATCAACGGAAACCGCTTCCCAGGTGGACCAGGCACGGCGCAACAAATGGCGAATGAATGCCGTGCGCCTGTCAAGAAAGGCGCCTCCCGCAAACGGCCTGGGAGGACGACCTCAGGGGCGCGTAATCACTGCCACATTTTCGCCCCACTTCCGCACCGTGGCGTCGTGGCGCAGCAGTCGGGCAGCGCAGGGTAACGGCCATCTTCGGCATCGGGCCAGCCGGTGCCTTGCTGGCCCTCTCCAACTCAGGGGCAACGAGGCACTTGGTCTGACGTCAGCTACCGCGGCGCCAGTGCCCCCCCGCCTTGCGACGACATCATTGCGCCGTGCCCAGACGGTCGCCTGACCATGCTTCAAGAGGCGCGCCGCGCCTCAGCGAAACACGCAGGGCACGGCGCTGTCCGAGCGGGCAGAAGAAAAGGTGGCCAGAGTCAATTTTGGCACCCACGAAGCGAAGCAAATCGCCTTCGAACCGTGGGGAACTGACGCCGCGCTTGCTGACGCTAAGTAGCGATTCGCGGGGATCAGAACACCACCAGGGCGGAAATTGCCAGGGTGTTTCATCTATCTCGTGGCGCTGCAAATTCCAACGCGCAGGTTGGAACTTCGCAGCCAGGGGCGGCGCTGCAGTGGTCGAGGCGGCCAGTGCCACTCCGATCACTGCGGCCCGCGCCCAAGGCTCCGCCATGCCATGGTCCATCGTCGACGGGGCGGCGCCCAGCGCAGGTGAAACAAACTCCCCGAAAAAGGGCCAGCGGCTGCAATCGTCTCGCGAGGGGTCATTGCGACGGATAAGCCGGTTGTTGGGCCAACCGCGGGGGGCCCAGGCAAAGTTCACCGCCGTCTCTACAGGGCCACCTGGCCGCTTGACTGCATCTCGGGGCGCTGCTCAAATCGCGGCCGAACCTTGCGTCGACGCTGCTCCCGAGCGCCCCGCCGCCGGGAAAAAGCTGCGAAGTGCCGGCAGACATGGGGTCGCGCCGACAAGCCAGCGGCGCTGCGGCAGGGGCCGACGTCGCGCCCAGCCGAAGCCCTTCCGCCCGAAAAGGCGTAGAACATCGTGGCGTGGCAGAGGGGCCCGCCGAATTCGAAGGAACCGAAAGCCCCGCCCCTTCCCGCGCCTGGACAGCAGGAGGACATGAGCTATGACAATGATGACCCCTCCGACGACGAGCGGCTGCCTAACCCGCGGGCCTATGATATCTCCGACCAGATTGACGCGAGGTTCCGCGACTTGAAGGCCGACCGATCGCAGCTAACCGACGCCGTCTGGCGGCTCGAAACAAAGGTCGCCAGCGCAGCCGGCAGCCAGGCCACCCTCGCTCGGCAACGCTACTAGCTTGAGCAACATATTCACGCGGTCAAATCGGAACGAAGTAGCCTGGGCGCGCTTGTTGCCAGAACTCCTTCGAGGGCGACCGGCGCGACTTGGAGGATCCAGGCGCGATTCTGACCTGCGGCCACCACGTGGTTGGGAACGGCATGATGGAGGGCGACGACTGGTGGCTGGAGCTCTACGCGTTGCTCTCGCGCGCCACGCGCCGCGAGGACCTGCTCATGCGGGCGCCGCGCGCCAAGTTCTGCTCGGCAGGGCCGCCGGCGGGTTTGCGGAAGCAGTTGGAGCAGTTTGCTGCGCGCGCAAAGGCGCATGAGGGGGTCGACGGCCTTCGCCAGGGAGCTGGGCGTCACCGAGTTTATCCGCGAGGCTTGACCTGGGGGGCGACCCGCCCGGGCCTCGCCGTCTTTCGACGGTCTGGCTGTTTGGCCTCTCGCCGCGGGCGGCCCGCGCGCGTCGCTGGGGCCCTCTCGGGGCGACCGGCGCGCGTCGCGTGGGCTTCGCGCTGCGCTCTGCCCAGCGCCTCGCTCGTTCCGTCGTCGCTCTGCCCAGCGGCCGAAGCCGTGCCCGCTATCGGCCGGCCTGCTTGCTCTCTGCGCTCCGCGCAGCGGGCCGCCCGCGCGCGTTGCCGCGGCCTCTTCGAGGCGACTGGCGCCGCGCCCTCGGCCGTGGACGCGGGCGCGCGCGGGCAACGAGGGAGAATCTAACGGGGTGGAAGCGGGCGCGATCTTCGCGAGGGGCGCGCCGACGCGGGCGCTGTCATTTTCGCGCGCGGACTCGCGCGCGCAGACGCATCCACGATCAGACTCGCCCGCGTTCGCACTCGCCCGCTCGTCATATCTCTCGCGCGCAGAACAGCGGTTTTCGCTCGCGCTGCGCGCCCCGCCGCGCATTTCGGCGCGCCCATCGCGCGGTTCGCGGCCCCATAGGGAGCGCGAGCGAAGATGCGATTTGCAATTGCGGCATTCACGACTGTACACGGTCGGGCCCTTCGCCGGGCTATTGTGTCTAGGGGGGTGGGGTGGGGGGGAAGGGGGGGCTTGCTTGGCCGTGCCCCCTTGCGCCCTCGGTCGTCTTGCGTATGCCTATTGTTGGACATTCACACTCACGCGCGCGGGGGGAAAACCCGCTTTTTTTGTTGTTTTGTTGTTGTTGTTGCTGCTGTTGTTGTTGCTGTTGCTGTTGCTGTTGCTGTTGTTGTTGTTGTTGTTGTTGTTGTTGTTGTTGTTGTTGTTGTTGTTGTTCTTGTTGTTGTGTGTATGTATATGTATATATATATATATAAGTTTCCCGGGACCTGGGGCTTCCCAGCACACTTAGGGCGATCAGGGGGGTCATCGGAGACGTCCCAGAGACCCCCAAGGCAGCGCGAGAGCGCTCCAAGAGTGACCGACGTGACCTCAAGATGGCCCAAGAGGCCTCCAGGACGGCCCCAAAGAGGCCTCCAATAGCACTCCCAAGAAGGCCCCCCGAGGCAAAATTCATTGATTTTCTGTTGGTTTTTGGTGATTTTTGGGGTTCTCCTCTTTTCGGCTTCCCGGCGCTCCACGACGGCGGTCTTCTGGGCGTCCGAACCCGCCTGGGAGGCTCCCAAATCGCCCCACAACCATCCGAAAGGGCTTCCAGGCAGTCCAAGAGAGCCCCAAAACGGCACAACACGGGTCCAAGATGGCCTTCAGAGAGCCCCACGGCGGCCCAAGATGGCCCAAAGACATCCTCCGAAGAATTCCGAATCGTGATTCGGTCGTTCAGGGAGACGGCGGTTGGAGGCAGGGTGGCCCGAGGAAGCCCCCAGAGGCCCCCAGAATGCACCCCAGGAGGCCTCCAGAAGGCCTTGAGAAACCCCGAATCAACTTTTCTGAGGCCCCTAGAGGCGCTCCAAGGAGGAGCCATCGCACAAAAAAACTGAGGAGGATGGGGAAAATGCGCAGGGTGTGGCGAAAATAAGGAACAATAAGCATGGAGGAAGGGTAGCGAATAACATCATTATAGCGGCGATGCCGGAAAAAAGGCAACCAGGAGTTATCGCTAAATTGTCGGCTTGGCCTTCCTGCCATTCCGCCTGCATACCAAACTTCAAGGACCAAGGTGCACGGCGCGAAGCGCCGCTGCAGTATTGTATATATATATATATATATATATATATATATATATATATATATATATATATACTAGAACCATCGCGCGCGCTTCGCGCGCGCTCAGGTTCTAGCCCAGGCCTGGGGGGCGCTGGACGATCTTGGACAACGCTATCAAGCACAGGCGCGCGACGGCATCTGAGGAGCTTCTGGGGTGTTCCGCATGCTTCGTCAACTGGCTGTTGGAGGCACCTCTTGGGTGCTTCTTGGGGGGGCGTCTGAGGGTCCCTTGGGGGCATCGGTTCTGCAATCTGAAGCCGTCATTGGCCGTCTTGGCTGCGTGGAAGCCCGACTTGAGGCCACCTGCGGCCAGATTGAGTTAATCCGGAAGCCTCCCGGGGGCCTCCTGGAAGCAGTTTTGACGCATCGAGGGCACTCTTGGGCTATCTTAAAGCCTCTTGGACGTCTCCTACGGGCCTTTTAGGCCCTCGTGAAGCTATTGGGGTCCTCGTCGGACCACTTGGGGGCCTCTTGCGGCCTCCTGTGGGCCTTGTGGGGGGACCGATCTGCTGTTGGGTCGCGTTCCCCTTCTTGGGCCTCTCTTGGGGCTCTTGGGGCCCTCTCGGGCCGTCTTGGGCGCCTCAAGCACCGTCTTGGGGCCCTCGCGGGCCGTCTTGGGGCCCTCTTGGAGTCCTCTTCCTCTATATGGGAGCGGTATTGGAAGCCTCTTGGGCCGTCTTGGAGCATCGGGATGCCAAAAGGCCGAAACCCGTCAAAGCCCAATCGTAAAACTATGAGTTGTGCCTCTTGGGGCCACCTTGGGAGATCTCTTGGAACCTCGTCGGCCCTCTTGGGAGCTTCTTGGGGGCCTCTTGGATCCGATTGGGGGCCTCTTGGGACTTCCCGAGAACCTCTCGGGGTAGAAAGCTCGGATTCTCGGTTCGTGTTTCCCTTCTTGGGCCTCTCTTGGGGCCGTCTTGGGGCCCTCTCGGGACGTCTTGGGCGCCTCAGGCGCCGCCTTGGGGCCCTCGTGGGCCGCGCAGGGCCCTCTTGGAAGCCTCTTCGGCTATCTTGGAGCTGTCTGGGAGGCCTCTTCCTCCTCCTCGTCCCCCCTCCTCCTCCTCCTCCCACTCCAACTCTCTCTCCTCCTGATCTTCCTCCTCCTCCTCCTCCTCCTCCTGCAGCGTGTTCCAAAAGGCTCCCGCCGGAACATGCTGTGCACAAGTGCTGTCACTGCTCCCGCTCTTGTGGTTGGCCTGTCGGGGACGTCGTGAAGGCAATTTCGCAGCTTCTCGGTAGCCGTTTTGGGACCGTTGTGGGGCCTCCTCGGGGCTGTTTTGTAGCCTCTTTAGGCCTCGTTTGGGCCTCCTGGGTGCCTCTTGGGGGCCTCCTGGGGCCTCTTGGGGGCTCCTTGGGGCCTCCTGGGGCACTCTTCAAGCGGGAGGGTCGAATTTTGGAGTCGTGGTCCCCCTCTTGGGCGCATCTTGGGGCCGTCTTGGGGCTCTGTTGGGCTGTCTTGGGCGACTCTGGGGCCGTCTTGGGGCCCTCTTGGGCCGTCTTGGGGCGCCCTTGGGGGCCTATTGAGCCGTCTTGGAACGTCGGACAGCCGAAAAGGCTGGCAGGCCAAAATCGTTCGAAAACCTTCGTACAATTGACGATTTCGGCCTCTGGAAGCGCTCTGGAGAGGCGTCTTGAAGCGTCGTGGAGTGCCTTGGGGGGCCTCTCGGGCCGTCTTGGGCCTATCTTGGGCGTCCTGGAGCGGTCTTTCGGCGACTCGGGGCCCGCTTGGGCCATCTTGGGAGCCTCTGGAGGCCCTCCTGGACTATTTTGGACCTCCCCGGCCGCCCCGTCCTCCCATGGGGGGTCGGAGGCGGCGGCCTCAGAGGCCCAGGACGCGGAAACCCTGTAAAAACACACGGAACATGAGCCCCGGTACCCCCATGGCGGCTCTTCGGCGCTCTTGGACCGTTGGAAGCTCGAAAACGCGAGAAGCCAAAAACATTAAAAAGACCATTGAACATATACGACTTTGGCCTCTTCGGGCCGTACCGTGATACCTATCAGACTTCTTGGGGTCTCTTGGAGGCCACCTGGAAGCCTCGAGAGCCGTCGGAAGGCTGACTTGGGCTGCTCGGGAGCGTCTTGGACCATCCTTTCGCATTCTGGGGGTTCCTGGGGGGCGTCTTGGGCCCTCCTGGAGCGCTGTGGAGGCTGCCCGGAAAGGCTGGGGCAGCGGTGCCGGGAGCGTCCCCGAGATGTGGCCATATCTTTTCAGCGCGTTCCGGGAGCATCTGCCCGGAACGCGCTCGTGGCAGGGCGCCCACGTCCGAGGACGTTGGCATGGGAAACCGCAGCGCGTGATCATTCCAGCGCGTTGGGGCGAAGGCCGTCCGGAACGCGCTTGGGCAAGCGCTGGGTTTGGGGAAGGCGAGTGGAGACCGTTCAGGCAGTTTGGGATGCTCGGGGCAAGAGGCGGAAGCCATCCTCATAAGACATGCAGTCTTCTTGGAGCCGTCTTGCAGAAACCACAGAAACACTGAGGCCCTGCAGTCGTTCCTGGAGCCGTCTTGGAGCCCTCTTGGGTTGCCCTGGAGCCTGTTGGAGCCCTCTGCGGAATGGTCTTGGAGCCCGCGCCGAGGATCTGGAAAATGTCCGGGGGCATCGCGGCGGCCTTCGAGGCCCGGGACGCCGAAACCGCGTAAAGCACAGCGAAAATGAGCCCTGGTACTGGAGGGTCGGGCAGCTGTTTTCGGGCCCCTGGGCTAGAACCATCGCGCGCGCTTCGCGCGCGCTCAGGTTCTAGCCCAGGCCATGGGGGCGCTGGACGATCTTGGACAACGATATCAAGCTCAGGCGCGCGACGGCATCTGAGGAGCTTCTGGGGTGTTCCGCATGCTTCGTCAACCGGCTGATGGGGGCACCTCTTGGGTGCTTCTTGGGGGGGCGTCTGAGGGTCCCTTGGGGGCATCGGTTCTGCAATCTGAAGTTTTCATTGGCCGTCTTGGCTGCGTGGAAGCCCGACTTGAGGCCACCTGCGGCCAGATTGAGGCAATCCGGAAGCCTCCCGGGGGCCTCCTGGAAGCAGTTTTGACGCATCGAGGGCACTCTTGTGCTATTTTAAAGCCTCTTGGACGTCTCCTACGGGCCTTTTAGGCCCTCGGGAAGCTTTTGGGGTCCTCGTCGGACCACTTGGGGGCCTCTTGCGGCCTCCTGTGGGCCTTTTGGGGGGACCGCTCTGCTGTTGGGTCGCGTTCCCCTTCTTGGGCCTCTCTTGGGGCTCTTGGGGCCCTCTCGGGCCGTCTTGGGCGCCTCAAGCACCGTCTTGGGGCCCTCGCGGGCCGTCTTGGGGATTTCTTGGAGGCCTCTTCGTCTATATGGGAGCGGTATTGGAAGCCTCTTGGGCCGTCTTGGAGCATCGGGATGCCAAAAGGCAGAAAAAATTAAAACCCGTCAAAGCCCAATCGTAAAACTATGAATTGTGCCTCTTGGGGCCACCTTGGGAGATCTCTTGGGACCTCGTCGGCCCTCTTGGGAGCTTCTTGGGGGCCTCTTGGATCCGATTGGGGGCCTGTTGGGACTTCCCGAGAACCTCTCGGGGTAGAAAACTCGGATTCTCGGTTCGTGTTTCCCTTCTTGGGCCTCTCTTGGGGCCGTCTTGGGGGGGCCCTCTCGGGACGTCTTGGGCGCCTCAGGCACCGCCTTGGGGCCCTCGTGGGCCGCGCAGGGCCCTCTTGGAAGCCTCTTCGGCTATCTTGGAGCTGTCTGGGAGGCCTCTTCTTCCTCCTCGTCCCCATCCTCCTCCTCCCACACCAACTCTCTCTCCTCCTGATCTTCCTTCTCCGCCTCCTGCAGCGTGTTCCGGAAGGCTCCCGCCGGAACATGCTGTGCACAAGTGCTGTCACTGCTCCCGCCACCGTGCCCTGGGTGGTGGGTCAGAGGCCTCATGGGTGTTGGTTTGGATCTCGCGGTTGGCCTGTCGGGGACGTCGTGAAGGCAATTTCGCAGCTTCTCGGTTGCCGTTTTGGCCTCCTCGGGGCTGTCCTGTGGCCTCTTTAGGCCTCGTTTGGGCCTCCTGGGTGCCTCTCGGGGGCCTCCTGGGGCCTCTTGGGGGCTCCTTGGGGCCTCCTGGGGCACTCTTCAAGCGGGAGGGTCGAATTTGGGAGTCGTGGTCCCCCTCTTGGGCGCTTCTTGGGGCCGTCTTGGGGCTCTGTCGGGCTGACTTGGGCGATTCTGGGGCCGTCTTGGAGCCCTCTTGGGCCGTCTTGGGGCACCCTTGGGGGCCTATTGAGCCGTCTTGGAACGTCGGACAGCCGAAAAGGCTGGAAGGCCAAAGTGGTTCGAAAAGCTTCGTACAATTGACGATTTCGGCCTCTGGAAGCGGTGTGGAGAGGCGTCTTGAAGCGTCGTGGAGTGCCTTGGGGGGCCTCTCGGGCCGTCTTGGGCCTATCTTGGGCGTCCTGGAGCGGTATTTCGGCGATTCGGGGCCCGCTTGGGCCATGTTGGGGGTTTCTGGAGGCCCTCCTGGACTATTTTGGACCTCCCTGGCCGCCCCGTCCTCCCATGGGAAGTCGGAGGCGGCGGCCTCCGAGGCCCAGGACGCGGAAGCCCTGTAAAAAAACATAGGGAAAATGAGCCCCAGTCCCCCCATGGGGGGTCGGGGCACCTGTCCTGGGGCTCCCGGCCTTGCCCCCAGGGATATATATATACATTATATATATACGCATGCAGAAACAGCGACAGGGACAGATGGCAGAATCTCGGGTGGCCTCTGCAATCGGTTCCAACATTAAGCATACTTTGTCCAGAAGATCTTGGATGGACCCCCCCCTTCCCTGGCTCGCGGAGCGCGCTAGGGAGGGCGCTGCGGGCACCTTCAGGATCGGCCCAGCGCCTGTCCCAGGAATCCGCGCGGTCCTCCGAGAGTTTGGGCGCATATTTGTTTTGGGTCCCTCTGCAGGGGAGAGGTCCGAAATGCTGGATTGATGGCGCAGCCAGGGGTGTGGGAGGGCGAGGTCCCCCCTCCTTATAATGTTCCAACTTGCTTTCGCCTTGACCACTAGAACGAATTTCGAGCACCACAACAGTTCCGAAACCAGAAGGTTTTGTCGTGTCGGGCCCTTGGAGGCGATACTCGTTCGACGCTCTTTCGATAGTTGCCAGGGTGTTCGAAATTATGTTTGGGATATGGTCATTAAGCCCGATGGGAGCAACATGACTCCTTTCCCTCTTCCTCTTCCTCCTGGACCCTCCCGCCAGTGCTTTTCCTCCTAGCCCTTCCCTCCAGCCGCCGCCCTGCCCTGCCCCAACACCCCGCTGGCTCGGGCGCTCGCGGCCCCCCCCCCCGCGCACGAAGAGGCGCGCTCCGCGGGCAGAAAGAAGCGGTCGTTTTCGGTCGTTGTCGTCGTCGTCGTCGGCGGCGCCGTCGTCGTCGTCATCGTCGTCGTTGTCGTCGTCGTGGTGGCGGGGGTGCCGAGGCTGGTGGGACGAAGCGGGCGGGCAACGGGACGGAGGGGCGCGTCATCAGATCGGGATCGGGCGTTTGGGCGTTTTCCCGCCCAAACTCTGGTTGTTTTTGTTGGCCCCTGCGCGAGGGGGAGGACGAGGCGGAGGAAGAGGAGGAAGAGGAGGAGGAGGACCAGTGTGAACCCAAGAGTCATCAACGATGTTGGAATTAATGCTCCCTCCAAGCTCATTCTCCATCGGCCCGTACAACATATCAGTTCCATTGAGGGAAATGCGTCGTTGGAAGAGAATCGTCTGAACATCCCGAAGCATGCCAGAATTTGTTCTCGGGATTTCGACGCCACGGATCAACCTGGCTGCTGCGTTCTGACGATCCGGAATCGTGCCATCTTTTCAACAACGCGAGTGAACATAATTGTTGCACCCGCGTAGTCCTGAATATGTGCAGCACATTTTTGGTACGGTGATCATGGGAATCCGTGGCGCACTTGCACATTGTCAACACGAATGTGGTCGACGCTAAGCCGCGAACCACATTGTGAAAATGACCCGCCCTCAACCCGTGAAACCCGAATGTTTGAACCGAATGTGCGCGGCGTTAAGGCGAGAGCCACATTTTGAAAACGGCCCGCCCTCAATCCGCGAAACGACTGCCATGTTTTAAGCCTCAGAGTCGTAAATGGTGAGGGAGTCTCAGGCGGAATGCCCGGCCCGCCCTGAAAATTGGCTTCGGGGTGCGACAGGGAAGTGTTATTTACAAGATCAAGGAATGGAGTAGGAGGAGGAGGAGGAGGAGGAGAAGGAGGAGGAGGACCAGTGCAAAACCAAGAGTCATCAACGATGTTGGAATTCACCCTCCCTCCAAGCTCCCTCTTCATAGGCCCCCACAACGGTCCATTTCCATTGAAGGAAATGCTTCGTTGGAAGAAAACCGTTTGAAGATCCTGAAGCATGCCAGAAATGGTTCTCGGTATTTTAGCGCCACGGGTCAACCTGACTGCTGCGTCTCGACGATCCAGAATCGTGCCAGAACGTTTTTTGGGGTGCTCAACACCGCGAATCAACATAATTGCTGCACCCGCCGCATAATCTTGAATGCTTCCAGAACCTTCTTTCTGGTACGTTGATCAAGGGAATCCGTGCAACGTTTGCAAATGTTGAAAAAAGAATGTGCGCGGCGCTAAGGCGAGATCCACATGTTGAGAAGGAACCGCCCTCAATCCGTAAAGCTCTTGCAAATGTTGAAAACGAGTGTGCGCAGCGCTGAGGCGAAAACCACATTCTTGAAAAGTTGTGCCCTCAATCCGTGAAACTCCTACAAATGTGTAAAACGAGTGTGCGCGGCGCTAATGCGAGAGCCACATTTTGAAAACCACCCGCCCTCAATCCGTGAAACTCTTGCACCAATGTAAAGCGAATGTGCGCGGCGCTCAGGCGAGAGCTACATTTTGAAAACCACCCGCCCTCCATCTGTGAAGCTGTTGTCACCTTTTAAGCTTCAGAGTCATAAGTGGTGAGGAAGTCTTTTGCGAAACGCCCTGCGCACCCTAAAAGCTGGCCTTGGGGTGCGAGAGGGAGGGGTTAACTATGAGGAGAAGGAATGGAGGGAAGAGGAGGAGGAGGAGGAGGAGGAGGAGGAGGAGGAGGAGGAGGAGGAGGAGGAGGGAGGGGGGGGGAGGAGGAGGAGGAGGAGGAGGAGGAGAGGAGGAGGAGGAGGAGGAGGAGGAGGAGGAGGAGGAGGAGGAGGTGGAGAAAGAGGAAGCGGAGGACACGGACGAGAGCAAGGACGAAGTCGCCTATGTCAGCGTCGTCGTCGTCGTTGTCGTCGCCGGGCCCCTGGCGTCTTCGCCGCCTCCCGAGGACGCCCGTCAGAAGAAGGCCTTTGCGGAGGCTGCCGCGCGATCGCCAGTCCGTTGGGTGGGGTTCCCATTGTCGCTTCCCGACGCAAGCCCGACGTCGGCGTCTTCTTCCCATTTTATATGTTCCTCGCCTTCCTCTTTCTTCTTCTCCTCCTACTCCACCCACGCTGGATAGCGTCCCCCGTTGCTGGGCCGCGCGCCGCCTGGGTCGCGCGCAAGCCGGTGGGCGACCGGAGGACGTGGCTGCGACGTAGGTGTTGCCGGACTTCCTGGGGCTGCTGGGTCTGGCCGGGGTTGGTGGCAGTGGCCGTTTTACGGCTAGGGCGCCGTCCCGACCCACACCCTGCTCATGGTGTGCGTCTTCGGCGAGCACCTTTCCACGGCCTCCTGATTCTGGCCAGGGCGAGTTCTTGACATCGGCCGCGCCTTTCATCGCTCAGGACCTCTTCCTTCTCCTCCTCCGCTTCCTCCTCCTCCTCCTCCACCTGCTCCTCCTCCTCCTATCCTCTGCCTCCACCTCCACCACTTATTGCTCCGCGGCCGCGTGCGTGGCACGCTGCTGCTATGTGCAGCGCGGCTTCTGAAATGCCGAATCGGCAATGCGACGGGGGAGCAGCTGAATGCACGCGCAAGTCGCCCTGGCTGCGGTAACATATCCAGGCCTACAGTTGGAGATGCTACGGTTTGGCAGCGGCAACCACCGTATCTCGAAGGGAACCGCATAGAAGGCCTATCGTGTGTGTGTGTGTGCCCTCCGCCTCCTCCTTCTGCTCCTGCTCCTCCTCCTCCTCCTCCCCCTCCTCCTCCTCCTCCTCCTCCTCCTCCTCCTCCTCCTCCCCCTCCTCTGTTTCTCCCGTATCCATCTCATGCATTTCTTCACCTTGCCGTGCGACCTCCGTCTGTCGGAGGGAGGGGGGCTCCGTTGCGGGGAAACATTTTGATCAGTCCGATGTCCAAGAGCAATGACTTAGCTGTGTTGGAAACTGTCGCACACGCCAGCACCTCGGTGTCAAACGGGGGGGGGTAGTTTCCCATGGAGGGCAGTTCGGATGCACTGCGTGTCTCATTGGCGTCATTCACGTGCTTGCCCGACATGTTGGTCCTGGCTAACTTACCTAGGTAAGGCACGGGTGCGCGCCCTGATGCGGGTATGCGGACGATTCGCATGTTGCGCCTGTTTTTGTTGAGCATGTTTTGGCTATGCCAATGCCACGATTAATTTGGAAATGGTGGAGTTTCGTTTTCTGGTGTAAGTCGCGCATCGCCCCTGCCAATCAAATAATGCCAACACACTGTGCTTTGGCTTGCTGCGCAAGTTTACACTTCTGCCATGCATGCCTAGGAATTCCCAAGCGAGATTCCCATTTCGAAAAGAGGCGCCTTCATCCGTGCGGCTTGTACCGATGCTCAATGCTGTTGTTGCTATCGTCAAGGAAGTGTCACGCGATAGCCCAACTTTTAAATGGAATCGTCTTCCATCATCGCACACGTAGCGAAATTTCAAGACGAGTGTGCGCGGCTTTGAGGCGGCATCTCAATTTTGAAATTGAGCCGCGTTCCACCCTTCTATTTGCTCAAGCTGGCGCAGATGAGAACAACACAATTTTGAAAGCATGAGTTGTAGCTGTTGGAGGATTGTGCGGTGCCCAGGCGTGAGTTCCATTCTGCCAAATGTTGCCTTTCTCAATCTCTGCAGATGATGCGTTTAAGCAAGACGAATGTGCGCGGCGCGGCAAGGCGAAACCTCCATTGTGCAAACCTCCATTTCTCGGCATTCAGGCAATATATGTATTTCAGTTGTATCAAGTAGTAGTTCACATATATTTCAGATGTATCTAATGTATTTCCAACGGTGATTACATGTATTTAGAATGCGCGACGCGGCACTCAGGCACGAACCCCATGTTGCCCCTTCCCTCGTCCGATTCCGCGATGCAAGCTGCAAGGTTCAGGATGGCAACAAGTGTGGAAGTCTCATGCGAAACGCCCGGCCCGCTCTACCGACACGTCTTGGGGTGCGACGGGATGCTTCATATAAAGGGCACGGATGGAAAGGAGGAAGAGGAGGACGAGTCCCTTGGACCCTCTTGGGGCCTTTCGGGTTTTTTCTGAGACCTGCTTGGTTGCCTCTGATGGGCCGCGTGGGGGCCTCCTGGGGCTTCTTGGGGACCTTCTGGGGGCTGCTGGGGGCCTCTAGTAGGCCTCTTGGCCCTCGGAGGCAGTCTTGGGGGCCACTGGGCCGTCGTCGGGTCATCTTTGGGCGCTTCAGTGCCGTCTTGGAGGTCAGTGGGACCGCCGTGGCCCTTCGTGGGGTGTTTTGGGGGCCTCTTCGGATAACTGGGCCCTCTTGGCCTGTCTTGGGCCCTCTATGGGGCCCGCTTGAAGCTATCTTGGATACCTCTTTGGCTGCCGTCGGCTGTCAGAAACCCCCCAAACGGAGCATGCGAAAATCAGATTAAGAATTGCAATCAATGATGGTGGCGTCTTCGTGCTCTCCTAGGGGGCCTCTTGGAGCCTTCTCGGGGCGTCTTGGGTGCCTTTTGGTTTGTCTGCCGTCTATGAGCAATATGTATCCGTTTTGGGCCATGTCTAGAGGCCATCATCTAGAAGCGTCATCGAGGCCGTCATGTTGTTCTTCGAGGCATTTTGGCCAATTTGGGCAGAAACGCCATTGGACGCCCTCTTTTCTGGCTGGCCGGCTGGATCGACCGAGACCCCTTTGGGAACCTTTTGGAAAGGGTCAAACGGTTAATATCTGGCACGCCCAGCACCCTTTGTGCGAGCAACGGGTGCCTCGGATATAGTGCCTGAGCCGGAGATCAGGCATTTGTTTGAGGCCTTTTGGGGTCTTTCGGGGGTCTTGGGGGGCCTTTTGAGGCCTACGCGGGTTTTCAAAAGGGGCCGCCAGGAAGCCCATTGAGGGCGCCCCCCAGGTCTCTTTGTGGCCCCTGGTGGGTCTAGAGACCATCTTCGAGGGAATGCTTTCAGCGGTCAGGCGGCGGCGCACCCTTCGGCCCCTTGTTGGGGCCGTCCTGGAGGCTTCTCTGAGGCCTCGTGTATTCTCTTGGGCCGTCTTTGATGCTCTCGATGAGAACGCGAATGCGAG